TTTGCATTCAATGAGGATTGGCATCCTGACTATAAGATTTGTCCGCCATATAAAATCATTTTTATCACGTTTGAGAAAACTATTTAAGCACATAACATTAAAGAAATTAGATAACTTAGTTTCTGTTTATAGAAACATTTATTTTTAAACACAACAAACCCACTATAAATCATTTCTGGATCACATGTCAATTATACACAGGAAATACAGCTGGAGAATGTTCTGTCATCAATTGATATGTTTTTTTATACTTATTTAAATGCGATTTTAACTAGCTGTAATTTTGATGGAAAAAAAGTCCTCCACCATAAAAAAGAACTGGAAAATATTAGACATAAATGTTTCATTTGATGTAGATCTAGATCAATAGCTTATGATAATTCGCTCAATCCGTTTTCCTGAATAATTATCTTAACTGTGAAAAATGAACACAATTTTATCATGGTTTTATTTCATAAACATGATGCTCAAATTAAGATTTGTCAATATTGTAAGTTCCAATAAGCATTATTCATAAAGATATTACCGAATTTAACATTTGATGTAAATAAAGGGAGGTAGTTAGAAATTTATTTTCTATAAATTGTAAGTCAAATTTACCAATAAGTAATGAATGCATATATTTCATTGATGAAAAATAATGTGCACAAATATTTGCAGTACACATTTTACATATTCTTCGATGTTTGAAAATTGTTTAATTTGCATAATTATATACATATATAAGTTATTGCAAGTGTGGTATACACAAAATAACAATATCAATCACAAAATATACAGGATCTTTAAAACTTTGCGTTGCAAACACTTTTCACTCAAATCGGGCAAAATAGCACAACAATATAATATTAATTCATTTCTTAGTATATTTCGCAATTGTCTTTTGCCTTTCTTTCTTATTTAAGTACACCAATTGATCTATGTAAGAAATTAAAATTTTGTGATATTTATTCTTTTAAACCTCGGGGGATTTCAAAGCTGCAAATCAAAAGAAAAAAGTAGGTCACTTCGTCAAATTTTCTAGGTCAGCTGATATCAAACTTCAAAGTAGGCCACCTCGTCAAAATTTAGGTGAGCTGATATGTAAGTTTAATTTAACATCTAAAATTATGCACTTGATCCAAGTAAGATAGTTGTAGGAAAAACATATAAAAATCCTTAATTTCACCTTGATGGTAACGGTCAATTTAATGCCAGTCAAAGTCACATCTAAATCATTTTTTTTGCAACAAGTCTTGTTTTGTCCAAGTATAAATCAAAGCCGTACATCAATAACAAAATAATGACAATTTACCTAAAATACAATAATTTGACCTTGACATTAAACATTTAAATCGGAAGGTCAAGATCTGTTCAGTCTTTTAGAAGGCCTTGTCCAAAAAACTGTTGGCAAAGTTTGAAGTTGGTCTATTGGTTACTTATCAAGTCACCGCCCATTATGGCAATTATGAGTGATTTTCAATTATTTGACCTTCAAGGCCAAGGTCATACATAAACCATTGTCAGTTTGAGTTTGATATACACGAAGGCACATACCTAAAAGATGATATGTCTAAAAATGAAATTGCTCTATTCATAAATAACAAAATTATAACTAGTAACAAAAAAAACACCAAAATTAATTTCTTTTATTTGACCTTTATACATCAGAGATTTAGACATCAAGGCCGTGACCTAAAATATGTTGTCTCTAAATATGAAGTAAATTCATTCATTAATTACAAGGTTATAATAAGTAACATCAAAAAGTCTAAACTTTAACTTAATCTTCAAGGTCAAGGTCATTTACGAGTGAATGTCAGGGTCTGTCATATTAACTCCAAGGTCAATCATAAAAGCTAATTGTGTTCAAGGTTGAAGACAATTCATTCAAAGCTAACAAAGTTATATTCATAAATAGCAAAACTCACCAGATCTTAGACATTCAACCTTGAAGCTCATGGTCAATTATGAATAAAGGTCAATATTAGTCTAGTCTGCTTGAAAGTCTTGTCCCAATAAATACAAATACAAGACATTTATATAGCGCAAAAATGTATTAAATATTCGATTGCGCTGTACATTATTAAGACTATATACACATATGCTTGATCAAGACACTCCCAAACCCAGTCTCGATGGCACAGCCAATCTACAACTCTAGTTGAAAAACAGTCCAAACAAGTATGTTTTAAGTTTGGCCTTAAACTGATTTTCATTGGTAATGTCCTTCAGATAGTCTGGCAATGAATTCCACCATTTAGGTCCCACAATGGCCAAGGATCTATCAGCAAGTTTTGAATTTGTTGATGGTATATCAAACCGAATGTGGCTAGATGATGAGGATCTCAGTCTTTTCCTGTACTGACTCTGGCATTTAGTGAACAATTTACGAAGATACAATGGAGCGGTGCCATTTGCAACACGAAACACAGTCACAATAACTTTGTACATGATTCTTGCTCGAATTGGAAGCCAGTGGAGTGATTTAAAAATTTCAGCACTGGATTGATAGTAAGCAGCTCCAGTGACAATTCTAGCAGCATAATTTTGCACACGTTGTAATTTATCAAGTTGATAGGCTGGAATATCAGCGAATAATCCATTGCAAAAGTCTAAATGTGAATGAATCAAACCGTGAACAAGGATTTCTGCAGATTTCTGAGTGAGATGTTTTCTGATTGCTTTCAAATTTCTTAACTGCATGTGTGCAATCTGACACTTCTTTTGAATATGGATGTCAAAACTCAAAGTGCTGGTCATCTGTACTCCAAGGTCTCTCACATTGTCAACACAGTTGACTTCGACCCCACCAACATTGACACTTGAAATGTTCAATTTCTTCAGCTGATGTCTTGTACCATAAATGATGATTTCTGTTTTGCTATTGTTCATTTTTAACTTAAATCTAGTCATCCATGACACAATATCATTAAGACAGTCAGTTAATTTTTGGCGAACGATTTCTTCGCTGTGATGGTCACCAGCTCTAATTTTAAATGCCACTTTATGATCGTCTGCATATCCATACAAATCCGCCGGATATTTCTGGACTATTTTGTTAAGGGCAGCTATATAGAGAGTAAATATCACCGGTCCAGCACAAGAACCCTGGGGAACCCCGAACCTCAGTGGCTCAGTATCCGATGAAGACTGTTCAATGACTACTTTCATATCTCTGTTGGTTAAATAAGATTCGATCCACTTTAATGGAATACCCTGTATGGCAAAGTCTTTCTGTAAGATTTCAAGTAATATTGGTATATCGATAGTATCGAAGGCGGCGCTTAAATCAATCATTACAACTATTGTCACATGGCGGCTATCAGCTGTTTCTAGCAGATCACTGTACATTTTCATCATAGCAGACTCAACACTGTGAAATTTACGGTATGCACTTTGGTAAGATGGTAACAAATTGTTGGACTCAATGTGGCTTGAAATTTGGTTCATTGCAGCTTTTTCAAGAATTTTCGACAAGAATGACAGGTTTGATACAGGCCGATAGTTTTTCAATTCTAAGGGAAGGCCTTTCTTTTTCAAAAGGGGCTTAATAACAGCGCTCTTCCACGTCTCTGGAAAAACACCAGAAGACAATGACCGATTCACGATTTCTGTCACAACAGGTGCAATCAAATGAAGATTTTCTTTCAGCTTTGGTGTTGGCATAACGTCCAACTCACTGTGTTGACAAGTATGTAGATAATATATCCAGAACTTAAAAAGTTATGGTCAACGTTAAATTTTGCAGACGGCAACTGGACCGCTGCTATGACTGTAACAATACCTATACTTTACTTCCTCGAAACAATAAAAACTAAACATGAACCCGTCAAACGACATTTCCACCTCAAATACTTGGCGGATTTTATGAAATATACAGTAATGAACATAAGGTAATCCTTAACAAAAAAGATCAAATGATTCCCGTCTGTTTTACAACGTAGCCGCCAAAACTAAAAAAAATATGGTTTTAAAGGACATCATTTCCTCATGATTCTGTATTATTAAGCTTTGAAATAAATAACTGGCCAGAACTGAAGGTTCAGGGTGAGCAAATAGTATCAAAGGGGGTGCTCCATCGTCCGCCGTCCGTCGTCATGCCCCAACATTCATCTTGATTGATATTTCAACTTTGGTCTGCAGTCTCCTTGTGAAAGTTACACGTAAATTTGCTCATATCATTTTAATTGGCCCTTTTAGGGGTCAAATGAGCTAAAATAGAAAAAAACGTCTTTTTCTTATTAACTAATTGATGGATGATCATCAAAATTTATCTGTAGCATTCTGAGATGGTCGGTTATCTTTTTTTTCAAATTATCTTGATTTGTCCCTTTTTATAGCCTGTTAAGAACACCTTTAAACATTTTCTACTGAACTTAACAATGGGTGATCACCAAATTTTATCTGTAGTATAAACACTAATCGCGGGAAAAGAATAATAATTTCTTGCGCACTTTATTATTACAAAATACACGGTTCAAGTTAAAATGCACAGGAATATAATCACGAAGGCCGATACAAATTAGTAAGATTTTAAATATATTTCATTGTCAAAATCAGTTTATGTTTTTTGCTTTCCTCCACGTTTAGAAATTACTTTAATTTTGAAAAATATAGCTACTCGTGTACAGTTATATACCCAGAAATATACACAGCATCCGATCTTCGATCCCTTTAAATAGCAGTTTTTTTTCTTACACTATGTGTAGACAGATAAAGCGATTGATTAAAATGTCCCTAGGATTCCTAGAGACAACCTTAAATTCAACTAATTATTGTCTGCAATTGTCTACTTAACAGTTAAGATATTGGGCGAGCCATAATACATGTGTAATTTTTATTTAGCCTTTTGTGTCTTTTGTGCAGTTTTGGCTAAATTTCGGCTTAGTTCTACCAAATGAACTTTCAAGTTGGATGCATTTAAAAAAGCTGCGTTTTAAGAGAAGATGTAAATTAAACAATCTTACATTTTATCACCGTAAGTGAATCAAAGACCTTTGGCAGGAAAAATGACATACCTATACCAAGTAAAACTCCGAATCCCATGTTCACTGAAGAATATTCGCACGAATATTTGAACACGATATTCTAATTGTAACAATTAGATAACGTAAGTTGAGTATATAGTATATAGTCTTTATCTTAAACATCCTTATCGTATACATTTAAAACATCCTTATCGTTTACATTTACATCTCGTATATTGATAGAAGCACTTTAAGATAGAGGGAGCTAGATTTCATTAGTTTTACGTGTTGCTCAGGTTAGTCATTTTATATTGTTAATGTTCTTTTATCATTGATAGCTATTTAATAAGACAATTATTCAATGAAGTGGTAGATTGGATGATTAATAAAACAATTTATATTTGTCATAATTATGTGCTTCCATTACAATGGTAAGTTCATATGTTTTTCTATACCAATCATCATATAATTTCTATATTGAACACTAGAGTATCCATAAAATTAAATTTAATATGACAGTAAATTACATATGACTTTTCCGATCTTCCTGTTTATAAAAAGGGTATTCGAATTGTAATAATAGAAATGATAATCTATTCAGAAATATGATTTTATTCGTATGTTCATAACTACTCGCACATCAGAATTGAAATGCCTTTGTACGAATGTGCATCTATGTAAGAAAGTGATGAAAAAGATGTATTTGTTTGAATAATGACCCTTTAAAGTTAGAAATAGCCATTCTGTGAAAATTATTATGCTCCCGAAGTGTGAGTATATATTCACTCCTTTGTTCGTCTATCCGTCCGATTGTCTTGTGCCTTTGTTTTTTTTTTATACTTTAAACTTTGTCCGGGACATAACTCTAAAACTATAAGTGATACCAACGTGCATTTTTGTACTTAGATAGATATCATTGGGTAAAAGTGCAATGCACAAGAACCATAACACTACCTAATTTTGGAGTTATTGCCCTTTTTTATTTTCACACTTGAACATTGTCTTGGACATAACTCTTAAACTATAAGAGATATCAAACATGAAACTTTGTAGGAAGATAGATCTCAGTAGATAAAAGTACAGTGCAAAAAAACATAACTCTACCTTGTCTAATTTTGGAGTAAATGCCCTTTGTTCATTTACATACTTTGAACTTTGTTCGGGACACTCAAAATATAAAAGATATCATAATTATATTTTGTAGGTAGATTGATCTCATTAGATCAAAGCGCAGTGCAAACAACCATAACTCTGCTTTGCCTAATTTTGGAGTTATTGCCCTTTGTTCATTTTAACACTTTGAACTTTGTCTGGAACATTACCTTAAAACTATAAGAGATATCACTTATTGGGTAAAAGTGCAGTGCACAAGAACCATATGTGTACCTTGCCTTATTTTGGAGTAATTGCCCTTTGTTCATTTTTATACTTTGAACTTTGTCCGGGATATAACTCTGAAACTATAAGAGATATCACCAGTAAACTTTGTTTGTAGATAGATCTCATTTGTTTAAAGTGAAGTGCAAAATACAAAACTCTACCTTGTCTAATTTTGAAGTTACTGCCCTTTGTTCATTTGTACATTTTGAACTTTGTCCCGGACATAACTCTGAAACTATAAAAGATATCAACATGAAACTTTGTAGGAAGATAGATCTAACTAGGTAAAAGTGCAGTGCATTAAGCATAAACAAGAGTATCACACGTTCAGCATTATTTTGCTTATTTATGTATAAAAAAAGCAAAAAGATCAATATATTTCTCCAATAAAGTTAAACCTCTGTGTATAAGACGCTTTAAAGGACATATTTCGTGCAAAATTTCAATTGAAATATAAAAGTGGAAACAAATATGAGCAAACATTAATATTCCAGAATATTTGGGGATTTGGCGGCCATCTTTGATGCCATCTAGGGTTTCAAAGCTTCGCATCGGACTTCAGCCAAATGAATATTCATTCCGGAAACTACAGACCCAGACGAACAATTTGGTATATAAAACTTGCTGTTGGCTGACATAACCACTACGATGACATTATACCCTATGAATTTGCAGCACTAGAAGTGCAGTGCAAAAGAACCATAACTATGCCTTCCCTAATTTTGGAGTTATTGCCCTTTGTTCATTTTGTCACTTTGAACCTTGTCTGAGACATAATTTTAAAACCATAAGAGATATCAACATGAAAATTTGCAGGTAGATAGATCTTATTAAGTAAAGGTGCAGTGCACAAGAACCATAACTCTACCTTGCCTTACTTTGGAGTTATTGTCCTTTGCTTATTATTACACTTTGAACTTTATCCGGGACATAACACTGAAACTATATGAGATATCAACAGGAAATTTTGTATGAAGATAGATCTAATTTGGTAAAAGTGTATTGCAAAAAGCCATAACTCTGCTTTGGCTTATTTGGACTTATTGCGCTTTGTTCATTATAACATTTTGAAATTTGTCCGGGTAATAACTCTGAAACTAGAAAAGATATCAACATGACACTTTGTAGGTTAATAGATCTCATTAGGTAAAAGTGCAGTGCAAAAGAGCCATAACTCTGCCTTGCCTTATTTTGGAGTTATTGCCTTTTGTTCATATTTACATTTTGAACTTTGTTCGGGACTCTGACACTATAAGAGATATGAACAAGAAACTTTATAGGTTGATAGATATCATTGGGTAGATGGGCAGTGTACGGAACTGTAACTCTGTCTTATCATAGTTTGGAATTATTGCCGGGACGTAACTCTGAAAGTACAAGAGGTATACATTTCCGTGTCCAAAACCTATTCGAGGAGCATCACCCGATTCAACCGGTTTTTGTTTTAATACACAGTTAGCTATTGCCATGCTCTTAAAGTTTCATAAAATTATTTTCTTGGGTTTAATCACAAATAATCATAAATGAACATGTATATTGATAGTGACAGTTGCAAAAACATAAGTTTTATTGTTGTGGTATCTTTTGACAAATGTCAAAGTCTAAAAGGTTTATTATTTATCACTATATTCAATATAAAAGCGTTAAAGATTGTAAAGACAGTTATGATATACTTATAGAAATAATTTGTTCAAAAAGGTATTAGAAGTAAGGGAGAAGGTCGGATAGTTCGTTTACGTTATTATCAAGACTTACTGTATCTAACGTAATGCTTTGCAAAAACACTCTCATAAATACACAAAGTTTAAGGTTACACTTAATGATTCCTTAGAATAAGCACATTGTAGGATATACAGTATCCATAACCTCTAATCACGTCTCACAATTCCATTTTGTTTAGCTCCGCGCGTTGCTTTCCTTTTCGGGGCGCAAGTATATTTTGAGACCACACGCTGCTTTCTTTGACTGTCACATTGAAGGTTCCATGATGTTCCTATGAACACATCTGCGAATGTTTATAAATTCAGAATATCACCATGATATACTTAAATGTTGAACAATGCATAACCCGGCACAAGTGGGAATGCATTTTCCAGAGCCGGCAACATTTCAATCTTGTCGTTTTAGAAATTCTTTAACGATTTTATTTCTCTTTTTTTCAAAAATATGTAAAACTTAAATATTGAAATTATAATGTGGCATATTTTAATAGGTGGCAACAACCCAATGAAATGATGCTTTGTAAGTGAAAGTACGCGTATAATATACCATTGGAGAAATTATTGATTTTTCTAACCTAGCCTTTTTTCGCACGATTTGCACGTGCTTTGAACGTCTGATTTCAATGACTGTATTTTCAACTCTAATTTCAAATGTACAAAACATAACAAAAGTGACGTCAACGTCACGTCGCGGTGAAATGTTTTGTACCGTAATAGCGCCAAAATCTATAAGAGGTCTAACCATCTAATAATAATACGCGTAATAATTATCACTCGCGAAATAAATGATAATTTAAAACATGTTTAAGTCTATAGAATATCAATTCACTATAATATCAATCAATGTATGAATTTGCCATCGCGAGCACCGGTTTATAACAATTAATGTTCATTAAATGTCTCTATTGGATACTGTTTAGAAATAGAACTCTAACAGCTCTCACCAAGCCATCTCCGCTAGTATTAAGGTCCTGTATAACTGCCAGAAGCCATTTCGTTCTTTTTGTACTATCGTCCTGAATAAGCACAACATCTCCAATTCCATTGTGTAGTTTATGGTATTCTCTGAGGAATGTGAGATATTCCTTCTTCCATCTGGTCGAGAAATGTTGTAATATTATTGATTTAAAGTTTGCCAATCGTTTGACTGATTTGTGAGTAGAATCATCATGAATAAATGTAGGCCTGTCGTCTGGAATTGCAGGGAAAGTAACGCTTCGACCGTATAAAAGATGGGATGGTGTTAGTGGGTCTTCATCTGATGGATCCGAAAATATGTATGTAGGAGGGCGGTCATTAAGGATACACTCTAGTTCTGTAATAAGCGTCTGTAGCACTTCGAGACTTACAAGTGATTTACCTAGTATCTTCTTTTTACATGTCTTAGTCAATCCAATTAACCTTTCCCTTTAACCTTTTATTTAATTTAACCTGTTCCGCTCTCGTAATATCTCGTAAATTCTCGTAATTTAATGCCCAGGACCTTAGATTAAATCCTGCTTTCTGGAAGAGCTCCCCCTACTATATTTGTAGACGTTTATCAAGGTTTCTTTATCAGATACACTTGATATTATGTTATCAACATATGAATCCTTTGAAATTTGTTTTTTGAAGTAGACATATGCTTGAGAATGGTTGCATAAAGTATGAATGGCAAACACTGATTTGAACCGGTTAGTCTGCAAGGTACTGCTAGGATCTTTACTTGCAAAACTTATTTCGGATTTATGTATTCAGGAAGAAATGTTAGCAGTGTTTAATTTGTTTAATTGTATTCTTATGACATTTATTACTAATGAAAATTAAAAGTTGTGGTCGCAAACAACTATGCAGGGCTCTCAGTAGGGTCAACATTACTCTACGTGTTACGTTTTGGGGAATTTTATGTATGGGCAATATTAACCCTCTACGACGTTGAAGCAATATTCCGATCCTGAAACAAACGTACCATAGAATCTGGCTTGGATGATGAAATATTTTAATTTTTAAGAAGGTTCGGAATCACACGTGCCAATTACTCTTCGAGTTACATGAGTCAAATCAGTATTTTTCATGGAAGCATGTGTTGCAAAATTAATCTGATTTGTTTTGTTTTGTGATATTGTTGATATAACGATATGTTTTACTTTTGAAAGTGATGTAAAATTGATAAAATTATAATTACCAAAAAATTTACAATCTTTTTAAAAACACAAATTGACACATATCGAACATATCGAAATAAGGTTTACGCACAATTCCATACATTTCCACTATTGATTGCAATCAAAAACGCCACCAAGTACAAAACATACACTTCTCGTTTATCGTTATTATTTCACGTCGGCAATGGTCATATGGTAGTAAAATATTTATTACATAATTGTTTCTTGCTGATATTTTCGTTGTTTGTTAGAAATGGTGTAGTTTGGAATGTTATATTTTATCATTTAATATCGTTCAACACAATATTCGTGTTGCGTTTGTTGTTGTTTGTTGATTGTTGGTTATCAATTTAAATACTTTTAATGCATTAGGTTATTGTATACCTCCTTGGATACTGTTAAATCATCCTAAAATATGATAAACAAGGTCAACAAGGAAAGGCGGCGTTCAATAAACGCAACCCCCATACGACCCGGCAACAAGAACCAGCGGCAAGGAGCCCAGGCGGACCCAACAAAACAGGACAGGGCACGGACAGGTTAATCACTAAGATGATAAATGATTTGTAACTGATAATTTGCGAAGTTTTAAAATGGGTTCTTTATATGTGTCTGTTCAATCTGTTGTATGTGTTTGTGACATACAGGCTTCATACTCTCTGGTCCATCCATTTTGGCAGAAATGTAAGTTCAGTGTCTAAATATAATAGGATAGATGGGTAGGTAGGTAGGTAGGTAGGTAGGTTTGTTTTGTTTGTGTTTTTTTTTGGTTTGGCTTTGGGTCGGTAGGTCGATAGATAGGTATTTATATACTTTGGAAATCGACTTAACTCTCCAAAAATACTATTTGTACATTGACATCTGATCATTTATAAACACGTTCCATTTCTTTCGTTTTTTCCAAAAGCCCCATATTTCACATCCGTAATTCAAGATGGCCGCAACAAAAGCAGTTGGCACATAAGGGTTTAAGAACATAATGTTTTGTTTGATGAATTATTCATTCAAAGCTTTTAATCATTAACCTACTAATGTCGTCTAATTAAAAGTATAAGAGCCTGTATAAGTAAAAACAGTGCCTAGATAATTAAAGTAAATAACAGGTTCTAATTAGCTACCTTTGTATGTCTATTCATTTTTCGTTTGCATTTAATCGGCCTCGCTTTCTGAATACAACATTTTTTGTTTTATCACTGTTGACTTCAAGTCCCCACTTATCGCAATATTCATTAAGCAAATTAAGACTATGCTGTAATTCACAGGACTTCTACAAAGTAAAATCATATCGTCAGCAAAGTTATATCGTCAAGGGTTAAACCACACAACGGACTGTCTTGTAAGACCAGTTCTAGGTCCTTATTAAAAGTGAAAATAGTAGAGGCGACAGTATCTCCCCCTGTTACAAGCCCGCTGCACATAAGAAATTTTTGAGTAAGAGTTACAAGCCTTAACACATGTTTAAACATGTAAATAGATACGTCTTATAATTATAAATTATTAAGACTTTTTGAATGATAACATTTAGATCTAAATTGCATCAGTAGTTGACCAACCTTGACGAAATCCGAATTATGCATCACTCAATATATTGTTTTTTCCGCCCAGCATACAATTCGTTCAATATACCGGTAAAACGTTTTGATAAACAAATAACTTTTGAAATTTCAAGCACCACAAGAGTCGTTCTTCTTAAAAATAGGTATACTGATACCCTTTGACCATTTATCTGGAAAGTGACAAGAATTTAAAATTGAAAAGATCTTCTTAATGAGATGGCAATATATCAATACATGATAAAAAATATTCGTTTAAAGGCATATCATTACCAAAAGCGTCATTATTTTTCAAATTTTTAACGACGGACAATAAATGTTCCACCGTGATTGTCCTGTCAAATTCATCAAAACATCGGTCAGTTTCTATACACTCTTTCTTCGAGCCTACTTGTGCATCCAGTCTCCGGTCAAGAAAATTTACCCGGTAATATATACATATTAATATCATTTTGTAAATTGACATTGATCACATTATTATGCCGAATAATTCTCGACCAATATATACACACCTGCAATGAATACATCGGTATCTCAATTGAAAAAACTGTCCAATTTAAACCGCAAAAGTGTGTCATGATGGTTATGTATAAATTTTACACCTTTATTAATTGATTCTTTTATATAAATAACCGTGTCCTCGCTACATCTTTTTGCCGTCACGGATGATGGTTGTCATTTTCTATGCCAATCGCCTATTTCCTTTGGCTATTGTTCATTTATGAAATGGCCAGTTTTTTCAATTTGAATCTCGACCTGCGAATCCTCTCGATCTTTAAATAAGGAAAACGTGGCCACTATACCTCTGGGACCGCCCGGACGGGTCTGACCCATCCGATGGACTCGTTCTAATTTGATTTCATTTATTATACTCTGGGCGATTTGACATTTTCCTTCCAAAAAAGTGCGTAACAATCTTTCGCTGTCCTCGGGTTTCCCATTTATAGATTCCGATATAAAGATCAGATTGTTTCGCACATATTGATTATATAAAAGATTGACCTCCATTTTGACCTGCTCATCACTCAATGTGTTTATTTTTGTTTTAGGTTGTTTCCAGATCAAAGTCTAGTGAATTCAACATTTTCGGACACAATAGATAATGATTCTTTATTGGAGTTAATACTATCATACACGTAAGTGCTCATCTGCTTTATTTCTGTTTCAAATTTATTTATTTTCATATCTAAAGTATCCAGTGTTTTCAGGCAGGTATACATAGAGCTTATTTTTTGTTCAATTCTTTGTAAATATTTTATTACGTCACCAGGATATGTATGTGTACATGTAGACAGACTTACATTTGAGCTACTGGAAGACCCGATCGTCTCTTGGTTTGTATTATTTGGAAACCAAGAAATAGATATGGATAATTCAATAATAATTATCCATATCTATTTCTTGGTTTTCAAATATTACAGCATTTTCTTGTCTAAGAGTCACTAACGCTCAAATCCACACTTTCAACGACACAACCAGGAGAGCTTCCGTTTCTTGGGGTTTTGTACGCATTGTTTATAGAACTGAAACTTGTAATAGAACAGTTAATGTCTGAACTGATTTTATGTTTGCGTGTCGTTTTCCCGTTTCCCTCTTATGTTGGTTATACTTTGTTTCTTATACCTTTATCCATTTAACTAATATCAATCAAAATGACGAAATGACGAAAACACAAAATCCTTTGTCTTTTGACATGTTTCGATTTTTAACAGTATATTTCCATATATATCCGAAAATATCCATATATTTATCACTCCAACTACACCACTTTGCAATGAAATTACCACATCTAGATAAACATGATTTTGGTATATAAAATACACATTTATAGCTCAAAATCCTAAGAATGTTTATTTTTTACAGAGGTTGAAAAGTTTCAACTTTGGGCCATTGATCACGTGACACAATTGTCTAGTATTTTTACTTATTACACATCTACAGTGCCATTCTTCTGTGAACATTACATTGGACGAAAGCAAAATTCATGTAGAAAACATGTCGGAAAAAGGGAATGATAAACAAACAAAAAAACGTAAAGAAAAGGTAAGTTTACTGACTAAATATAATAAGATAATGCAACTTAACAGGACTTTCTGAAATCAGCATATAATTAATATTACACTTATGGGTTACTGAATTATTATTTGTAATTTATTATGAACTGTCTTCATATCTTTATCGAAAAGCAAATGGAGAGCTTATGGTATTATTACTTATTAACATTTTATATGGTAGGAATATGTTCACAATTTTAATGAATTTACATCATAGTACACATATATCTTAGTAAGGTAAAAGAAAGTAAAAACAAACGTTTTTGTCTCAAAACTTTACTTACTTTATCACACATTTGTAATTGCTTCACTGCAGTGATAAACGGATTGTTACACAGATTACAGATATGACTTCAACAAACCAAATGACATCAGAAAAAAAAAAACGTTTACGCTCAATGTAGTTCAGCATATTTTTATCAGATTCATTTTTTTATTAACATGTAAGAGCAATTAACAGTACCGTGCAATACTGCCTCGGAATAATATTCTTACGCATTTGAACTTGCACGGTACTGTTTATCGTTTAAATGTTTTTTTTTATTATACGACTAAGACCATACTGCCTCGGGATTATATTCTTACGCATTTGAACAGAAGCCGCTCAAAATTGGTATCTTTTTCCTGAATATAAAGCTATATGAGGTGTAAACTGACTTTGACTGTTTAAATTATCAAAACATGGCAATGTTCCTGTATTGAATTTTGTTTTTTTAATTAAATAAATGATACAGATATGACTTATCCTTACATTTTATAAAAGAATCATTGAATAGATAAATACAGAATCCCTAAAGGAAGCCCAACACGGCAAAATTGAAAATGTTGCAGGCTCGGTTTGATTGAGCCTGTTCATGGACGGTACTGGAAAGTGCAAGTTACCGCCCACGCCCCCTAGCACCGGCTTAAGCAGAATTCAACATTTAAACATGAATTAGTAAAATTTTGAATTTAGATACATCTGCAGATGTGTTCATACGGCGGTTATCATGGAACCTTCAATGTGACACTTCCGTGCCATTCCATGAAAAGCGGCGTATGGTCCCCAAGTAATAAAAAGCGTGTGCCCTAAACGAGAAAACAATGGGCGGAACTAAATAAAATGGAATTTTGAAAGGGGATCAGAGGTTATGAAGCCTGCGTATCACAGATAAGACGTCAAAAGACAAATTTAAAAAGCAGGCAACATATCCTAAGGGTGATTCAACATCATTCAAGTAGGAATAGTGGAACCACCCAACTAGAAAATGCCGAAAAGTTGAAACTAAAAATACCACAAGCACAACAATAATGTCGTGCTGAACGATCTTCAAGGATCGAAAATATAACATCATTGATTAAATGTACGGGGAGACTTTTTACAGCCGCCACACGGCACAAATAACACGGATGTGATCATGAAATAGATAAATACAGAATCCCTAAAGAAAGCCCAACACGGCAAAATTGAAAATGTTGCAGGCTCGGTTTGATTGAGCCTGTTCATGGACGGTACTGGAAAGTGCAAGTTACCGCCCACGCCCCCTAGCACCGGCTTAAGCAGAATTCAACATTTAAACATGAATTAGTAAAATTTTGAATTTAGATACATCCGCAGATGTGTTCATACGGCGGTTATCATGGAACCTTCAATGTGACACTTCCGTGCCATTCCATGAAAAGCGGCGTATGGTCCCCAAGTAATAACAAGAGCGATCAGTAATCACATGTGTCGCCTCATGATGGCCAATTTCATGTTAGGACAGATTTTGTGACAGACGGACAGACAGACGGACAGTGCACAACTAGACTTGGTACTGATCATTCCTGTAAAGTTTGGATAAAATTGCACCAGTAGTTTATGAGGAGTAGTCCGGACAAGCTTTTGCGTATCTGGCAACACACAGAAAAAAACACCTTTTGATCAAAGGGCCATAACTCAGCCAAAAATCATTCAACCGGAAAACCCGTGCAATATGCGCAAGGACTTGAGCTACAGATCAATCCTGTAAAGTTTCATTGAAATTGCATTAGTGGTATAAGAGAAGTAGTCCCGGCAAACTTTAAAAATAAAAATTATTAAAGGGCCATAACTCAAACAAAAATCATTGAACCGGAAAATGCTGACAATATGCACAACTAGACTTGGTACTGATCATTCCTGTAAAGTTTGGATGAAATTGCACCTGTAGTTTATGAGGAGTAGTCCGGACAAGCTTTTGTGTATCTGGCAACACACAGAAAAAGAAACCTTTTTATCAAAGGGCCATAACTCGGCCAAAAAATCATTCAACCGGAAACCCTTGCAATATGCGCAAGGACTTGAGCTACAGATCAATCCTGTAAAGTTTCATTGAAATTGCATTAGTGGTATAAGAGAAGTAGTCCGGACAAACTTTAAAATTAAAAATTATTAAAGGGCCATAACTCAAACAAAAATCATTGAACCGGAAAATGCTGACAATATGCACAACTAGACTTGGTACTGATCATTCCTGTAAAGTTTGGATGAAATTGCACCAGTAGTTTATGAGGAGAAGTCCGGACAAGTTTTGTGACGGACGCACGGACAGACAGACAGACAGACAGACAGACAGACAGACGGACAGACAGACGACGGAGAAGTGATCCCTATATGTCGCCACTACTCCGTAGAGGCGACACATAAAGCGTGTGCCCTAAACGAGAAAACAATGGGCGGAACTAAATAAAATGGAATTTTGAAAGGGGATCAGAGGTTATGAAGCCTGCGTATCACAGATAAGACGTCAAAAGACAAATTTAAAAAGCAGGCAACATATCCTAAGGGTGATTCAACATCATTCAAGTAGGAATAGTGGAACCACCCAACTAGAAAATGCCGAAAACGTGAAACTAAAAATACCACAAGCACAACAATAATGTCGTGCTGAACGATCTTCAAGGATCGAAAATATAACATCATTGAAGTTTGTTTTATAAGTACTATATGCGTGACGCATAGGAAAAAGCGGTTTCGATTTTTTTGGTATTGTTTGATGTTCTCTGTCAGTAAATTAACGGAAATTACAGCTTTAATTAAGAAAAAATATATACCCCAACAGTGTTTTTATCATGATATCAAATCACTGTTTTGAGCTCGAATGCGAGATATTATATCACTATTCAGCAATTTAATATACAAAAATAAATTACTATATTCATAAAGTAACGTTTCAAACATTATTATATTCACATTATAAACGAATAAACGAATAATCAACGAATATCATTTTGCAGGTGCTGGTATATGATATTGAGAAAGGGGAAACAACGAAATGTTTTATTGAGGCCCTTAAAAAACATCTTGACGACTTTGAATTTAAAGATTTTCGCGAGGCTAATGAGGGAGAATTGCCTACTCTTTCTATCATTGCAGTTGTACGACACACTTCAATACGCTTTACAGAAGCCTTGAGTGAAGTCAAAGAACAACTTGATAAAGGTATGCACAAAAATGTTAGGCAAATATAGCAAGTACATTTATTAGAATAATTACATTCATGCATGGACAAATATTCTATAAAATGTAACTATTTTGTTAAGCTAATAAAGTACCATCGAAGACGAATTCATCAAAAGCATTGACATCTTTATTATAATTAAATGATTTTGTTTCATCCTATAAAGAAAAGATAAATAACACTACATGTATTCACATATCTACGTACACAAATAAAGTTTTATTTTGAATTTCAATAATTTACAGAATACTTTTTTTCAAATCTATTTTAAGATGACAACTTATAATACAAATAACTGAATTCTTATTTGAAAAGGGATGACTTTTTTATTTACAGAAAATATCAAAGATCTTAAAAGAGTGTTCGTCATTTACTTTTACGTCAATAAATCAGATGAAGGTTGTGTGCATAAGATTACACAGATATCTGAGTCGGGACAGTTCGACTTTGCATCAATAGTACCGATTAATTTCATCGGCGCTTCTCTGTTAACGTCATATTTCTGTAGTGCACCGAAACTTAAAACAGATACTGAAGAATCGCTACAAAAACTAAAGGAGTGTATACTTTCGAGAAAGGTAAGTGGAAATCACACATACATGGATGTTAACTTTCATGTGTATATAACTTAAAGTGTATAGAGCTATATATCTGCTTCAAAATTATTGTTTTGATTTTTAAAAAGAATACTTCCAAAATACTGCTAGAAGGATAAAACCCTACTTAAAATAACAAATAATATTTTGTTCTGGAACATTCTATTCTGTAAACGAACACAATTCATGTGTGTTAAATTACAGAAACATTCTTAGGTGTAACTTTGTCGGGAAACAACCATATAATAATGGAACCAATATAATTGTACTGTTGATAAATGTTTTAGAATTTTTTCATAAGATATAGATTTATACGCTTTTAGATATCAGCAATTTTTTGAATACGAAATTAAACTAGCTTAATTCATTTTCATAGGCATCTGCATTTATACATGATTGTAAAATATATTTCAAGAAATTGTGTGTCAACGTCTACGGTGCCGTGGATTTGCTACGGGTCAAAGCTTTTATTGCGGAATTACATAATTGCATTTCAAGCAAGATTGAATTACAAGCCGTGAAGCCCTTGGAAGAAGTGACCAATATAACATCACCGACATTGATTTGTACAACAGGAGATGTAGAGGAATGTCAAGAAAAACTCAAAGAGAAAGGTAGATACTTTTGCATTTTATAATAGATACATATTAAAGATTAGTAACTAGGTGATATTTACTTTATGTTACCGTTTATCTTCATCATTATGTTTGAATTAAATCTTTATGCCCCCGTATGACGGCATACAATATTTTTTCCGTCCAAGTGTTTGTCGGTCTGCCTGCTTTTGTTCGGTCCATAACTTTGTCACTTATGAATATATTATCAATTAATTTTGCATAGATGTGTGGTACATTGAGCAATGTTTCACATGCAAGACCAAAGGTTTAAGGTCAGAGATCACACTAAAAGACGAGAATAAAGATCAACAAGGCAAAGGCAACGTTCACATGACGCATCCCCCGACTTAGACTTGAAAAGAAAAGTATCTTATAAATACATTAATTGTGTCCGGTAAACGATCCTGGTTTTTTCTAAAAGTATTTTCGAGTTTATATGTGTAAATGCGTAAGATATGATGGTAATACGAGGTATGATCAAAAAGTTCCCAGCCCATTATATTTTTAGCCACTACACTGACATTTTCACACAATACTTCGATACTGATATCTTATTGAAGATTACTGACCGAGTTACACGCGATTTTACACAGATTAGGTAACATAAAGCACACTTTGATCAGTAGAGGGGTGTGTCATTTAGAGTTGAAATCAGAGCCGTCATTAAGTACCTCTGTAAGAAAGGGACGCCCCCAAGACAATCCATTAAGACTTCACACTTTGGAACGAGTCCCCTTCCTATGGCACTGTAAAAAAAGCGGCTGCTGAATTTAAGAGGGACAGGGAGAGCATTGGAGATGATGGCCAAAAGAGGCCACCAACGATAAAACTGCCGAAATTGTGCACGATCTGGTCATGTGCGACAGAAGGCGAAACCTGCGAAGCATTGCTAGGGATGTGGGTACATGAATAAGCTTTGGTTCAGTTCAGGCAATTTTGACTGATGTCTATGGCATGTCAAAAGTTTCTGCAATATATGTGTCTCCAGACAGTTGACTGGCGACCAGAAACGGACAAGGCTTGACGTTTCAAGATATCCTTTGTTTCACTACGAAAATGAACCTGATTTTATCTACCGAATCGTAAAACATGATGAAACATGAGTCCATCACTTTGATCCAGAATGCAAAAACAGTGCATGCAGTGGAAGCACCCTGGCTCATCCCCCCGAAGAATTTCAAGAGGGTGCCATTAGCAGGTTTTACTTTTTTGGGGGGGGTGTATAGTCAGGGGATAATCATGATTGACTATCTTGAGCAAGGTCGTACCATAACCGGTACGTACTATGCAGACAAATTGAGACGTCTGCGTCAAGACATCGCGCGTAAAAGGAGGGTCAAACTGATTCGAGGCGTTCTGCTCCTTCACGGCAATGTGCCAGCTCACACATCCCAAGTTGCGCTGGCTGCTGCAAATGACTGCGGTTTTGAAATTCTTTCCAATCCTCCATATTTTCCAGACTTGGACCCCTCTGACTTCTACTTGTTTCCGAAACTGAACACCAAGCTTCGTGGTAGACGTGGTAGAAGCAATAAATTGGTCATGGAGGCGGTCAATGGGAATTCTATTTTGAAGGGTTAAACAAGTTGGAGCACAGGTGGTCAAAGTGCATTGATGTAGATTATATTGAAAGTTACGGCCATTATCCATTATTTTGGTTCTCTGACTACCGAAAGTACATCGGGCCGAGAACTTTTTGATCAATCCCCGTATGCCGTACGCTCTAGAACAAAAGGAAAAAAAAAACAAAAAAACAATGATATGCGTTTTTTCATAGAAAGTCATCGATGGTCTTACCTGGTAAAAACTTCCTGGATTAATTTCAAATGACTCGAAGTTGAGCAAATGTCATTCAAGAATCATCTGAAAATAACTTTGCATAAATGTTCGATATAAGATGTACAGGTGTTGTTGATTCAGCGGTCAGACTTGGACATCACAAACCGTGCTTGATCAGTTGTATTCAGTCCGTATATTTTTCATTTATTGATAGATAAAACAGTTAGTAAACGTAAGTATTTGGTACTAAATAACTCGGAATAAACATTGTGCATAGAAATACGAATAACACATTATTAACCTATGATGCCAAAATAAGAGATTGATGGTTGTGTCTGGTTATATCTTTGTACATTGTACTTTAGTATTTCAGTCACATATTTTATTGTTAAAGCTGCACGCCTCCAGATGAGCCAAAATATTTCAAGAAAACCAATATTGAGAACAGTGCACAAAACTTTTAAGAAAGGTTATAACATTCAAGATCCAAGCTATATTTTACATTTTTATGTAGATTTAAGTCTGATTTTGCAGTATTTTATCACCATATTTCTACATTTCTACTGCGTTAGTAATGCAGTAAGGGCTGTTTTTGCATATGCTGAACACCTTTTGGTAATTTTCGTTGATTGTAATGCCGATTGCAATATGCACATAACTTTATTTGTTTACCTTACATTATTTTAGTTTTAAATACGTTTCCAAAATATTTTATGACAATTAACATGAATCTGGAGGCGTGCTGCTTTAAATGGCATCCTGAGAATATTAGAAGTATTTGCTTGTGATTCTTTACTATAGTCTGTCCGATTAAAAATGGAAATGAACTTTTGCCTGCTATGAATTAACAAAACGACAGTGAACAAAAAATAAAATTTTTTTGTAAACTAAAAAAAGTCACCCTCGAGATTTTTCAGGATTTTACTCTAAAGTGTCTACTTTTCTTGTGAAAGCAAATTTTGATTTCTCTAAGGTAAATCTCTGTTGTTTATTTTTCGTAGCCATTGCCGAAGTACTCTTCATTTGAAGATGAACAGGAGAAAGCACGTGTCATGTTTCTAAAATATACATGAGGTTTTCGTGGTCTTTTCATGATTGTTTTACAGAGCTGGATCTACAAGATGTAACAGTTTAGTTACAATGCATGATGGAAAACTTTGAAAAATGAAAATAAGCAACAAGAACACCGAGTCACATGGAGTCTAGATCTAGAAATTGCACTACATTTTAAGCTGAATAGAATCCATATGAACTTTATAAACGTCACGACAAATTTGCATTTTGAAGATTCCTTCATTGCCAGTTTCTATCCAGTTCTGTAGATCCCACTTTTTTACTTCAAAAATCCTGAATGACATGACTCCTGCACATTTGATGATCCAGATTTTTTAAACTGATAATCCGTCTCATTATTAAAACATTGTTCAATTTGTGGAGTTATCTGGGTTAGCAAATGGAATATGTAAATGAAACACATCATAATTCAGCATGTTCCAAATCCATAATTCAAGAACGGCCCATCAATTTTAGTTGTCAACATCACCATGGCCAATGCTTATGGATTCCTGACAAAAAAACAAACTTTATTACGTCAACAACAATTTACGAATTATATGACGTAACAAAAATGTCTCGCGCTTTTGATGGATGTTTCCAGTTGCGGCATTGACAATGGGCGGTTAGACATATGTAACCTCAAACAGATAATTTAAAGCGTTGAGATAAATTTGTCTTGAGTTAGTAAAAGTAGACGCAAACCAATGCTGAACGTATAGTGAATCAGTTTTCCTTTCTTTATATTTTTTGTCAGATTTGCATGATAATATAGTATTTGTTGGCGATTTCTTGTTAAAGTTGAAACCTACGGAAAGTTTTAGCGCATGAAAATCGCACCCGAAATAAGAAGGGTAACATATTTTTGTATCCCATCGAACCTGGTCAATTTATTTATTTTTGAATAGACGTGATACACACTTATGGACAGAATTCAGACAACTACAGAATTAGGTAAATTAAACATTATTAGCGAAGAACCATTTTTTATAGACTTCTACCTAGTGTTCCCGCTCCCCTAGCCTACGACGCGTTGAGGTATTCAAGATAAGCGCTTGATTGAAAAGCTATCAAATCAAACCACTTCATTGTTCTTTTTCTCTGAAAAAATATAAAATACGACAGTATATCATGGTAATTAATTAAATCTTTGTGTGTTATAATTTATAAAGCTTACGGATATTTTCACTTAAAATGATTTTGATTATTTTAAATAATGGTTTGCTAGTAAAATTGCCTTTTTGACACCAACTTTGTAGTCAATTTTCATTTTAATGATAACATTTAGCTATTGATCAGTAAGTAAATAAGAATAATATTTTTTTTTATAATTACCGAGTACATTTCACGCTAATTGTCAGACGAACCCTAAGTGACGTCTATATGGGCGCCGCCATTTTGAAAGTCAGGTTACAACGTAAGTCAAAGGGAAAAAATATAATTTTAACATTTTGACAATCTTACAGACTTAATGAAAAAAATGAAAAACATGCCTAGAGATATTGACGTCAGGGTAAACATGACATTAATTTAAACGATTTTACTATTATATTAAATAAAAAATGGAATGTTCAAACTTGATGGGACAGACTATAGTGTATTATTGGGCCGATCTTCTTGGCATCTGTTCCCAACGGAACCTGGACTTAATTTTGTTTATGATGAAACAAAATGTGATAGAAACACATAAAAACTGAATTCAAAGCGTGTATATTTACAGACTTGAAGAGAGTTTTCTTTGTCCACATAGTTGATGTTGTAAAGAGATCCGAGATCCGTGTTATGCATGACAGCCCTGACGACATGGAAAATACAAAGGTTATCCACGAGGAACAAAATACGCTACCTGTTGGTGCTGGAAAAAATAACTTACAAAATACCAAAAATACGCCTTGTGAAATACATGAGATACTTGATTACAATGGAAAAATTGTAATTAATTACGCTTTAGCAAAGCAATTTGAAACCTTTGTTTGCACATGACCTGGTGAAATTAAACCTTCGTCTAAAAATGAATTTGGCATTTAAGGATTGTACATGCCTGATATGTTGTATATTATTAGATATCAAGAATTTTCACATGTTTTATGACCGTATGTAAACAGCTGTGTACAGTAAATATAACCCGTGCGCTTACTTAAGGTTTTGGTTGTGATTGTGCCTTTTAGTAAGCTCCGGTCAGACAACAAACCCAAATTTTACGTTGAACATTACCAATTATTCAATACTGAAGATCGCTTGCTTTGAGCAAAATGTGACTATTTCTTGATAATTTCGTTGCAATTATTATAGTTGATATAAAATACTTAACAAGCGTGAGATATGGAAGGGGAGATTATTATACAGTCGTCTACGGTATAGCCGAATTTATTTCATAAAGAATCATTCGTTTCACTGAAAACCATTACGAGTAACCGGGGTACAAAATATGTAAACTCAAATTCTATATCTTAAACTTTAACCTAAGCTGATGGATATTGTAACTGTGTTTTCTTTATATAGTTTGTAATTGTTTTACCCTATACATCTGTACATCATTCCTTTTTTATAATAACTTTAATAAACATAATTGGAATCTAATAGTCTTTTGATAATGATTATAAGTACTTAGATATTGCCTTATTCGAGAGACATTTCTTTAGAAGTAAAGCCAGTAAACATGTGTCTGAACAACACCACCATTGGCACGCAAATTTTGATATACAAGTCCATGGTATGCGGTATGTAAAATTCATATTATTAATTTATATTAAGGTTTCAATTACACTTGATAAGGTACCAATAATGCATTGCAAAAAATCAACAGATAGAGAAAGTGATAAGTGACCATCATAAGATATCATAAGTTTTTATTACCCTTCCAGATTTTTTCCGCCTTTTTGATTGGATATTGATCACCCCAAAGAAATTGATATTACCAAGCCAGAAACTAAATTTGCCCGTTGGGTACCCCACGTTGTAAACAACATGCGCTGTGGTGATGCGCGTACGGTTTGATTTTACGCGATGTAAATTCCGATTTACAAGCACTATTTAACTGTCAAATGATAAGTATTTACCAAAATAGAGTAATGATACATATTCTCATCATTATTGAAAACAAATATGACCTTGTGAAAGCTTGATATTAATTCCAAAAAAGTGCCTTCAACATACTACTCCTTTTCTCTTGTTTACATTAGGTTCGAAAGAAACTACGTCTTGTATTTATGTGACGTCATGTTGGGGTGAATGGGTACCTTAAAGGGAATTTTATTTCGACGTTTCATTTGAAGTAGCAATTATTAATTTTAAAATCGCCTTAACTCGGCAGGGGAAGGGTAATAAAATTATTATTTTATATTACCTGCCAAGATCACCCGAGCCGTTACATATAAAATCTTGACAGGTAAAATATCCACATATATCACTCCAAAACCAAAATAACATATAATATTGTCGAGAAGGGAGTTGATCCTTCTATTGTTGATGTGGAATTGTGGATATAAATTATGAACCATGTCATTCTGTTATACCCAGACTTAAGTCAAGAAAAGAAATAACAAAGTCAGGGAAGTATAATAATATTAACACTTTTACTGAGGGATCAGACACGTCAGAAATACAACAATCAGAAATGATAATATGACTAAGAATGCAAACAAAGTATACAATAGAAAGTAAGTCATAATAATGAGCAAAGCATAAGTGAATGCAACAATTCTGCAAATCAATAATTAAGCATCATAATTGAAAAAAACACTTTAAACATAAAATTATTATACAAAACATAAGACATATCAAAACACAAATAATACATCCTCATTCCAACATTTAACAAAACACAAATAATATATTCACATTTCAGCATTTAACATAACAAGCAATAACAAATGTGTGGGATGGAGTTTGAAAATTGTAGAACAACAAAAGAAACAACTGGTAACTAAACGTGTCTGACAAAAACTGTGCAGATTACGCGTAATGTTGAATATTTATAGACGGCGTAGGAATACAAAAATTCAATGAACCAAAACAGTTAACCCAGGTAAATACAAATGGCGTCACCAACCCTAATTATAGATAGGGAAAATCCTACGTCAATTCATAATTAAAAGAATTTCTGTGAAGAAAATGCTATAAATTATGTCATTCTGTTAAACCCAGACTTAAGTTAAGAAAAGAAATGGCTAAAAACAAGGAAGTATAATAATAGTAACCCTTTTACTGAGAGAGCTGTGTTTATTACAATGCAAACAGCCAAATTATTACAAAAAATATAAACCTTTTTTATTTTGTAATTCAGGTCCCCATAACTTAAATGATACCAAAACTGTCAACATTTCTAAAAAAGTATTACTTAAATCTTGAGCCAAAATGAACTGTGAGAAAACAGTATAAAAAAACTTATTCCCAAAGATGCTCCCACAACCTGTTAAACAAGAATCGGAGCTAAACACTATCTATCTGTGACCATTCTCCGCAATCTATCAAGGAAATTCCATTATACATAGGCAGAAATTCAGTCCACCAACATAAATCATTTTTTACTTCTACAGGAATTAAGAAAACCTGATTACACTACATAACTTTCACGAACCCAATTCAGTATTGGGTTTAAAACAAAAATTTATTTTAAAAGACGCAACCCCCAAAAAATTTTCAGTTTACCAAGCTTTTTTAATTTTTCTTTAAAAGTTTAATCCGATCAAACCAAGATTTGCCCAAAACTCAAATTTTCCTTTGGGCCTTTTCCCTTAAAAATTTCCCCTTTCATATTCACTATTGAATAAGACCCCTAGAATCATTATTTAAAAGGGGGACATGCTTAATACACAGCTTTCTCTATACCACTCCTCATAAACAACTCTCTTAACAAAGAAAAGGCGAAGTTGGCAGATGATTGATTTTCAACACTGCCAAAATCATCCATATAATTCAAACATGTCAAACCGCATTTACACATCATAAAGGCAAAGGCATTTGTCACTCTCTGCAAATATGAGCTGATGACCTACGTCCCATGGCTAGAACAGTATAAAAAAGATGTGTTTCTTCCAAGCAAAACCTACTAAAATGTATGCCGAGGGACAAATACTAATTTGCCTATACGCTCTCCTTAAATCTAACTTATACATTAAACAACCACGACCTTTTGCCTTAATCAAAAATCCAAAATCATCAATCTTAGGAAAAACAAGATCAACCTTTTCTCCAAAATACCAATCTTTCGACACATAATCATTCACCCCTGTTCCATCTTTTTGATAACTTAAATCCAAAATTACCCTCCTTTCATTAGGATTTGACTTTGGAACTGTATTTAACGGAGATACATGTACTACCATACCATCGGCAAAATGACAAGACGAAAATGGTCAAATAATTGCACCATGAGACGCTTCTTTTTCAAGATATTTAATCATGTGTTCTGGAAAAGTATTAGCACCAGAATGATTTTTAAAACTAACAGCTTTAGAAAATAACAATGATTTATTTTCCAACTCTAACTCCATAGAAAATCCAAATCTAAGCAAGTCACAAACTTGCATATCGGAATAACCAACCAACATCCGTTTCATGAACTCAACATCAATTTTCTCATTGACCGGAATTTTACATAATTCAAAATTAAATTTTCCAGAGGTTTAAACCTGTTCATAAACATGAACTTTATTAACAGTGCTATCACTTAAAACCTGCCAAGTGAAGCACAAATCTTGCAACTTTTCTTATGATTGCTAAAAACATCACAACTATGGCTTACATTGGAAACCTTATCCTTGCTAAATAAAACAGAATGCTTACAAAATTCAGGCAAGAATATATCAACTATCTCTGAATCTAATTCATCTTTAGACTCAGAAATATTTACAGTACATAACCCATTAGTAAGTCAATCGTGAGAATGCGGACAAGAACTTAATCATTCCGGTGAGCTAATTCTTTCCTATCAGTTTGATATTTGTTATAAAAAACTCTAGATGCATCACCAGAAATAACAAAGGTTTTATTATTTGGCATAGTATATTCAGGTCTAGGTTTAAAATGATAATTTGGGGCGTCCGTGGCCGAGTGGTTAAGGTCGTTTACTTCAAACCACTTGCCCCTCACCGCTGTGGTATCGAATCCCGACAGGGACTTTGGATTCTTTCATGTGAGGAAGCTATCCAGCTAGCTTACGGAACGTCGGTGGTTCTACTCAGGTGCCCGTTCGTGCCTGAAATAATGCACGGAAGGGCACCTTGGTCTTCATCCACCAGTAAAGCTGGAACGTCGCGATATGACCTATACTGTGTCGATGTGACGTAAAACCCAAAACAAAAAAAAAACAAAAAAAAAACAAAATTGATAATTTGAGCTCTTTGTTCCTGAAGCAAAAAGTTTCGATTTAATTTTTCTATTATGCCTAGCTAAAACTGCTTACTCAACATATTGAAAATCATCACTTCAAGTTACATGCACTAACTCAATTTATCTGAGAAGAGCAGCATATACTGCTTTAATGGCTGAGAAGTCATAAGAACTGTTCCAAATACATTTATTTCTTCAGTAAATCTAAACGACCTTCTTTTTCAGTTTTACCAGTTCTAGATGACATGACAATTTCCAACTCTCCTGCTATAAATAGATTAAATTCAATATTTTCAAAACAAACATTTTTGGAAGCAAAATCAAATCTCAAGTTTGAATTCGAAAATCTTTGCCGGTTTTGACCATATCTGAAGACTTGAAAGTTGACCCTGATTTAGTGACCTGTTTTTTAACGTTTTTAGATTTTTTCTTTTTGAATCTTAACAAAATTCTTCTGCCTCAGAGGACGGAAAGGAATAACTAGATTCATCTTCGGACTCCGTACTAGCCTCTGGTTCTGTCATTTCAACTAATCCCAATTGTGCTAATGTTTTCTTAGCCTTTCTCTGCAAATCTGTCATTTTGCGTAAAGAATTAATTTTCATACCTTTCTGATTCGAAGGACTGTCAAAGGCAGCTGCAATGCAAGTTTTCTTACCAGTGCTGATCTTCTGACTAACTTTATCCTCGGGCTTTGAACCCAGGGAATTTATCGTACATGTACTTCTTGCGCCTAAACTTCGGATTTCACTCGTGAATTGAGAATGGGTTGGGAGAGTGTTTCTACCTCTGGCTCTGTTGATACTAATTTTTCTAACGAGGAGACAAATGCTTCTTTTCCAAAATCTGCTTTCTCAAAATGTTTATCTCTCTCTACTCCTCTAAACGTCTTTGCTGCTCGTTATACTCATTTAAATTAGATAACATCACCTTTTTCTCCAAATTTACGTGTTTTCCTGTTTGTTTACTAGCTGATGGTGACTTGGTAGATTTCACTTCGTCTTACTCATCCGCATTGGAGTTTGACAGGATTTTTCCACTGTTCATTTTCAACTTTTTAGATTTCGCGCACAGTTCTGTGACTTAAATTGTAGGATAATCTTCAATCAACACCTTCACTTCTTCCTCATCTTACATCTTATAATCAACTTTTCCCTTGTTTCTATTAGAAATTCTCTGCGATTTCATTCGGCG